GGTAGGTGAACCGAAACCAACATTAAGGCCCCCCCCCCCCCCCCCCCCGAGCAGCCGAGAATACCCCGGCAGGTTAACATATGGGGTCCCGGCTGTAGCCCACCGAGCCTTTCTGGTAAACGGAGAGAATCCTTGGAAGGTGCCTGATTGAGAAGAGCGCCACGGCACGCTAGCAGGAAGGGCAAGGCAATAGTGCAGGGCCCTTCGAGCAAACGCAAAGAAATCAAGGGCAACGCGGAAGGCTCCTTAGCGATCCGAATGACCCTGCAAGGGGGCATATAGGTTACCCCGAAACCGCATAGGGTCCCTGGACAGCGTAATAAGGCTTAAAATTTCCAAGTAAGAACTTTTTCAATCATTGAATATTTCCTCCCTCTTCCCGTTGGTCGTTCACTCTTGCCTACAGCTGTTCTTGGAGGCCTGGAAATCCAGAGATTGCCGCGTCCAATTTTGCCGCGTTTTGTGTTTAAAAACTGCACCTTTTCGGTCGACTATGGGTCCTTTGGAGCCTTGGCCCGCTTCGGGGCCCTAAGCGGGAGGGGAGGGGGGGGGGGGCATGGCCACGTGGCCACCCCGTTTGGATCCGCCCCCGCTGAAAGCTGCCTATTTACACGGTGTGCCACGTTGACGTCGAGTGTCTTTGCCTTTTAAAATTTAGGATCCTTGTTGATGGTATACCGTCAAGTTACAACGGTAATCGAAACATGCCGTGTTATCAACAAACTTGTACCTGTCACCAAGAGGGGATCTCAGTGGTGGCCAAGGCTGGGCAACGACTTTCTCTGTGTGAACAGCTGGACATGTCGGTAAAACGGGAATGTCGTCCGCGTTCGCACTAGCGCCTTGCCGGTGACCTGCGCTAGAGCCTCGCCGGTGACCCATGCTAGAGTCTCACCGGTGACCTGCGCCAGCGCCTCGTCGGTGACCTGCGCTAGCGGCTCGCCGGCGACATGCGATAGAGCCTCATCGGTGACCTGCGCCAGTGCCTCAACGGTGATCTGCGCTAGAGCCTCGCCGGTGACCTGCGCTAGCGCCTCGCCGGTGACCTGCACTAGTGCCTCAACGGTGATCTGCGCTAGAGCCTCGCCGGTGATCTGCGCTAGCGGCTCGCCGGTGACCTGCGTTAGAGCCTCACTGGTGACCTGCGCTAGAGCCTCGCCGGTGACCTGCGCTAGCGTCTCGCCGGTGGCCTGCGCTAGCGGCTCGCCGGTGACCTGCGCTAGGGCCTCGTGGCTGGCAGCCGCGTTGGAGCCTCGGCGGCAGCGACGCCGGAGCCCCTCCGGCGGCATAGAAGTGTACGTGGAGGTCTGTCACGTGCTCCGTGCCAGTGGCCGCTGACGGGCCCATGTCATACGGTCATGCCGGCAGGGTGGCGGCGCCGACCACAGCGCTGACAGCTTGCGCAGACGCCAGCTTCTCAGCTGCCTGCCGCCCCGCAACTGCCGCAGTGTGGCGACCTAGCGCTGCCCTGAATCCAGCGGGCCCCATGGAAGCGCCGGTTAGCGGACGGTGAACCTTATGCGTAAGACAGTTGCGTTTGAGTTTGTATATCTGGCACGGAACATAAGGTGTCACAGCATTTGTCATGTCATTCGGTGCAGACAACCCGAGGGCGTTGCTTTATTGCGAGCGTACTCAGTGCACGTGAAAATTGACGATAACCTGAAAAGCCATGTGGCCACTGCCAACGGCGCCGACAGCAGCCAGCCAAACATGGCGCTGCTCCAATGACACGCTCCCACCCACAGGCTTTCCCCGCGTAGGTCGTCTCCTCTCAGTCTGCCGCGTGCACGCAGCTGGGTCAGGTGTGCCCGGCGGCGGCCGAGCGCGGCGTACCGCCTCGCCCCGATCCCACACTGTCCACTGAGCGATGGCGCGGCCGGCCGCACCTCCTGGACCCAGCCTCGCCCCGACCCCACCGTCCATTGAGGGATGGCGTGGCCGGCCGCACCTCCTGGACCCATCGGCCCTTTGTCCCTGGCACAATCACGACAGAAAGGGGTGATAGCGACCTGTTCCGGTTCCGTCTCCGTCTCCGTCTCCGTCTCCGTCTCCGTCTCCGTCTCCGTCTCCGTCTCCGTCTCCGTCTCCGTCTCCGTCTCCGTCTCCGTCTCCGTCTCCGTCTCCGTCTCCGTCTCCGTCTCCGTCTCCGTCTCCGTCTCCGTCTCCGTCTCCGTCTCCGTCTCCGTCTCCGTCTCCGTCTCCGTCTCCGTCTCCGTCTCCGTCTCCGTCTCCGTCTCCGTCTCCGTCTCCGTCTCCGTCTCCGTCTCCGTCTCCGTCTCCGTCTCCGTCTCCGTCTCCGTCTCCGTCTCCGTCTCCGTCTCCGTCTCCGTCTCCGTCTCCGTCTCCGTCTCCGTCTCCGTCTCCGTCTCCGTCTCCGTCTCCGTCTCCGTCTCCGTCTCCGTCTCCGTCTCCGTCTCCGTCTCCGTCTCCGTCTCTCTCTCTCTCTCTCTCTCTCTCTCTCTCTCTCTCTCTCTCTCTCTCTCTCTCTCTCTCTCTCTCTCTCTCTCTCTCTCCACAACATGGGCGCAGAGACCACGGGAGTTTTCAGCAGAAGTCCGTTCATTAATTAGCTCCAAAATCCGCACGCTCCAGTGCCACACTACAGCAACTGCGTCCGCCAGCTTCCCGCGACGCGCCAGTATTCAATTCTTACTTCAGTGAGAACGGCGCCCAAGCACCTCTGCATGGCCCGGCAAACACCTGTCGCAGCCCCGCATGACACAGTCGCACGGACCGTACCCGCCGTTCAATTCGTATCGCATCGAAAAGGCGCGTGCTTGGGGAGCAGAGCACAGCATGAGCTTGTGCATGTGCTCGGAGCCAAATAACGTTACTAGCATGCGAGCTTTCTAAATGAGCGATAATCAACCACTGACCGCCCACCCCGCCTCTCATCGTGTCATCTAAAACGCGTGGAGGATCTCCCGAGGCAAACGTCCGTGGTGCTTTCACCGGCTTGGCGGTGGGTTCAAAGCTCTCCTTTACTTTGTTACTTAGCTATTGAGTTTTGAAGGAGCGCCAACTGCGCCAGTTATTTGCGCCAAAGCTCTCCCTTCAAGCGGTCAGTCCAGCAGGAACGTTCATCACAGCCCGAGAGCTATCAGACAAGAAGGGCATCGCTATTGCCACTCCGGTGGCGGAAGCACCTCCGAGAAATACGCCGCGTGAGAACGTCCCCGTTTATAGCTGCACAGTAAACGCCGAGGCAGAGTAGGGCAGTCATTGCAATGGTTATCCCACCAATGGTACGGTATTGGCTGAACAGTCCATACATATTTTCCATGCCTTTCGTTGCGTCAGTTACATGACGGAAAGAAAATCATAAAATACATTTACAAACGAAAAATAAAGAACAAATTTAAAGGCACATCCGTGTGACGGCTGACTCAAATAAAAAGGCATTCCAAAGTGAGTCTAGTATAATGGCAAGCAAGGCGGGGCCACTCTCAGAACAACGCGTCTTCTGAATACAGAGAGGCGACATCAGATAGCATCTCGGAAAGGTCGGCTGCTATTACCATTCATATTTACGGCGACACCGGGGACATCACGGCACTGGCCAAACCAGTGTCTCGGGCCCGCCTGGAGTGTCCGGCTGCTTCGGCCGGGCGGCACACTAGCGTACTGACTCAGTGTCAGACTGCTCCGGCCGGGCGGCACGCCAGCGTACTGACTCAGTGTCAGGCTGCTCCGGCCGGGCGGCACACCAGCGTACTGACTCAGTGTCAGGCTGCTCCGGCCGGGCGGCAGACCAGCATATTGGCTCAGTGTCCGGCTGCTCCGGCCGGGCGGCAGACCAGCGTACTGGCTCAGTGTCAGACTGCTCCGGCCGGGCGGCAGACCAGCGTACTGGCTCAGTGTCAGGCTGCTCCGGCCGGGCGGCGCACCAGCGTACTGGCTCAGTGTCAGGCTGCTCCGGCCGGGCGGCAGACCAGCGTACTGGCTCAGTGTCAGGCTGCTCCGGCCGGGCGGCAGACCAGCGTACTGGCTCAGTGTCAGGCTGCTCCGGCCGGGCGGCACACCAGCGTACTGGCTCAGTGTCAGGCTGCTCCGGCCGGGCGGCAGACCAGCGTACTGGCTCAGTGTCAGGCTGCTCCGGCCGGGCGGCACACCAGCGTACTGGCTCAGTGTCAGGCTGCTCCGGCCGGGCGGCACACCAGCGTACTGGCTCAGTGTCAGGCTGCTCCGGCCGGGCGGCAGACCAGCGTACTGACTCAGTGTCCGGCTGCTCCGGCCGGGCGGCAGACCAGCATATTGGAAAGAGTCGTCACTACGACCAAGTCAGCGTCCAGCACGGTCAGCAAGGGCAACCAGCAGCGCCCAGCCCGGTCAGCGTTAGCGCCCAATATGGTCAGCGTCCACGCCCAGCACGCCCAGCGGCGCCCAGCATGGTCAGACAGCAGCGCCCAGCGCGCCCAGCACGGTCAGCCAGCAGCCGCCGGCTGTCCCAAAACGATAGGGGCCGGGGGCGGTCGTCGTTACTAGCCGCCGGGCCGCTCGCTGACCCGTCCGTGATTAGATAACTGTTCCAATCAGCCTGCAGTGATACAAAAGCCACAACACAGGCCGGACAAATGCAGAATCTGAGGAGAAACCAATCACAAAACCAGAACAACAGGGCGATTGGGACCAAACAAGCACTGGGAACAAACGCGGAAGACAAAAACTGTGCGAGCCAGTGCACAAACTGATGTTAGAGAGGGACTCCGTGAGGGCGGCGTGCGCGTCTGCCTGCCCATCAAGCCGCTCACTGTCGAAGCGATGATGATGGTGATGATGATGGTGATGATGATTATATACAGAGTTGGGCTTTGGAACGCGCCGACTATAATGGTCATATGGTGCCCATACCTTACTGTTTACGGGAAACATCGAAAGAAGAGAGATGGGCGACGCCAAACACCCACCTTCCGCACCCGAAGCAGAGTCACAACAGCACGACCGCTCCCCCCCCCCCCCCCCCCCCACCACGGTGCTCGCCCGCGGCGCTCGCTCACCCCGAAGTACTTGGCGACGAAGCCGCACCACTCCGGCAGACAGTGCATGTACTCGCCGGTGGTGGGCAGCGCCAGCACGAGCGGCCAGACGGCGCTGAAGAGGTGACGCGGCGCCGGGCCCGGCAGTCGGCCGGCCGTCAGCAGGCCGCCCAGCACGGCCAGCAGGTCACAGTGGCGGTGGCCGGGGAAGCTCCAGTCGCTGCGGCCCGGCCCTGGCACGGCGCACCACCCGCGTAACGTCAGACGCACCGCTCACGGGAGGGAGGCACAGCTGAGGGGGGGGGAGAGGGTGGACGGCGGGGGAGCGGGAAGGTTGGAGCCTCCGCCAGTGAAAGCTGGCCGGGGAGAAGAGACTGGCAGGAAAGGACGACGGGAATTAATCGGCACGCAGGGGAGAGTGGAGGACAGGGTAAAGGAGAGGGGAGAGGGCATTGTGACATAATGACAGCAACATAGAGAAGAAAGAGCAGGGAAGAATAAAGAAGACAGTAAGAGAGAAAAGTACCAACATACGTAGTGCAAGACATTCTACCGAAAGAGGGCGCACGGAGCGATGGTAGAAAGGAATCACCGAGTACATGGGGATAACCCGGTGGTGACTAGGAAGAGAAACTATATGACAGGAGAGGCACGTGAGCATGGAACACACTGCAGCTGATCCGGCGCCGTGATGTGGCCAACCAACCGGCCGTGCCTCGATCAGTGCTTCGGTGCACTACCGCTGGCGACGGCAACGACAAGGCTTGTGCCGTCGATACGCGCACGACAAATGATAACATACTCCAACTTTCCGCAACTGATTTCGAAAAAAGCACGTCGCCCGCGAGGTGGAGCCTGGGCAGACGAATCCGAGGCCTGCAGCCGTCGGCGGTGCTCACATGCGTCGTCACAGGCGGCCACGGCCGACACGAAGAGCTCGGCGTGGGAGGTCAGCAGGTCGAGCCCGGACGATCGCAGCAGAGCCATCAGCAGTCTGGCAGCACGCCAACACCGTCACCGCTCGTCACAGTGAGCAGCCGCCAGAAATCAGACGACAGCCCCGCAAACTGAAGCACAGTTGGCTTTCCAATGGCGAGTGGCTGGCCTGGCCTGCCAGCCGACATCCGCAGCCCCACCCGGCTGCGGGCGCCGGACCTGTATGACCTGTGGCGCGTCACAGGTCTGGGAATTCAGCTTCGGGATATGTCAACCCTGTGCTAGTCGGTGATCCAGGCTGATTACCAACACATCTCAGTTCGAGCTGCACAATGGCGAATGAGTGGTTTTGTCCACAGTATATCTAGCAGCATTTGTTTCAGCTTTGCAGTGATAAATGAGTTTCCCTTTTTCTCATAAGATCGGAGCAATGAGAGCCCTACATAAAAAACCCGAGCCAACGAGCTTAGTAGACCTTCCACACAACAGCCTAATGACGAGCATAGTCACCAGACGGCAGCAAGGTGACGACTACGGACGACATCGGCTCCAGGCGCGTATGCCTGCTGCCCGCAGCCGGCCGCGACAAGCCCTCGTGTCCCGGTACCCACGTGCTGTGCATTGGACGCCGCTGCAGCAGCTCGGTCAGGAAGCGACCGCAGCGGTCTGGTGCGCATGCGCCGACAGCCGAGCGCAAGCACCACTGGATGGCGGGCCCAAGCGGCGGCGAGACGCTCCGCGACGATGGCGTCCTTTTCACCGCCGAAGTTCCCGTCTTCGGCTGCCAAAGTGCATTGCAAAGTAAAGGTATTTCGACTTAAGACGGCGCCGGTTGCATGTATGTGATGAATCACATCCACGCGAAGCACGAACAGAAACTGCAGGAAAAAAAGCAATACATTCACAATGTCACTTAAAATCCCAGTGTCACTAAGTGTCGGGCCTCCAGTTCGTTTGGTTACAAATGAGGCCTAATCAGCTTCATCCCCAAGGTCGCATTTAGATCGCACGCACACGCTCAAAAGCACAACAAATGTTGTCACCACATGGAGGCCGCCAGCTCTCCCGGCCCCACCACAAACATGCACAGAAGCGACACACCACAGAGCAGCGCACCCCGCAACACGCACCCGCTGCTGTAGGTGCGTGATCTCAGAACCCACCAACGAACATGTCAGTCGTCACCACGTCCAGCATCCGCCCGCTCATCATCTCCAGGCCTTTATCCTCCAGCCTGTCAGGCTTTTGCTCACCGCCCTCTAACAGCCAATTACGCCAATCCGCCCGCTGCCCCGTCCGTCAACTCTCTGCCCGCTGCCACCGCCCCCGTCAACTCTGCCCTTCCCCCACCCGTCCGTGACTCACGCAGTGCAGCAGGACGGCGAGCAGGTCTTCGAGGTTGTCCGCGCGGACGGCGGCCGGCGCCACCCGGCTCAGGTAGCAGCGGGCGTAGCCGGCCGCCAGCGGTGAGGCCAGGCCCCGCACAGCCGTCACCAAACGGCGCGCCGCCTCCTCCGAGCCGCTGCACCGCACGGACCGGGGTCAGACGGCCACCAGCAGGGGATCAGACGGTCACCAGGTGGGGAGGTTGGGTGGCCAGAGAAAGGCAGGCGTTACGCGGGCGAGGATTTGGCTGTTCGATGTGAGACACGGGACATGTGGACGGTGTGGGGCGGGCAGCTCCGACGTCAGCGGGGTCCAGCGTCACACATGGGACGAGGGGCGTCTGACGTTGGAAGGCGTGGGCTATAGGACGCCGAGCTTCAATAGCCGACGCAAGACGTAAACCTTTATACGAATGTAACACGGACATGAAAACAAACACGAGAGGTAGACGGACATAAGCAATCGCGTCGGATGCGCTAGTTGATACAACAAGCCAACAAATACGCAGACATCAGCCATTGGACTTGGGGGGGGGGGGGGGGTCCGAGGCGGGCATCGGAGTGGATCTCACGCACCACACAGCAGGCGTCGAACGTACGTCGCACACCGGCATTAGACATGGTGCCGATGAAAAAAACAGCACAACATTAGACAGCCATGAGTCAATGCCATCACCAGACACGGACACCATCAGCCGTCGGCCCTCCGGCCGCACAGACAGCGGTGCAGCGTCAGGCCTCACAACACAGACGGCGGTCCAACGTCAGGCCCCTTAACACAGACGGCGGTCCAACGTCAGGCCCCTCAACACAGACGGCAGTCCAACGTCAGGCCCCTCCACACAGACGGCGGTCTAATGTCAGGCCCCTCAACACAGACGGCGGTCCAACGTCAGGCCCCTCGACACAGACGGCGGTCCAACGTCGGGTCCCTTAACACAGACGGCGGTCCAACGTCAGGCCCCTCAACACAGACGGCAGCCCAACGTCAGGCCCCTCAACACAGACGGCAGCCCAACGTCAGGCCCCTCAACACAGACGGCAGTCCAACGTCACGTCCCTCAACACAGACGGCGGTCTAACGTCAGGCTCCTCAACACAGACGGCGGTCTAACGTCAGGCTCCTCAACACAGACGGCAGTCTAACGTCAGGCTCCTCAACACAGACGGTGGTACAACGACAGGCCTTTAAAGACAGACGGTGGTCCAACGTCAGACCTCTCGAGACAGACAGTGGTACAACGGCAAGCCTTCGAAGACAGACGTCCGCTGCGAGTGTAGTGCGGGACGATGGCGCCGGCTTAGCCGAGTTCGCGCGGCTTCAGCGGCCTTTCTGCTTCCTCACCCGGGCTTGAGCAGGTCGTAGCAGCGCAAGACGGCCATCTCCACGTACAGCCGAGCCATGAGCTCGCGGATGGAGGAGATCTTGTAGAACCAGTTGCGACATGTTTCGCGGCCGCCCTCGCTCACCAAGTCGGCGCCAGACCGCACCACCGTCGCACCGCTGGGGGAGGCAGGCGTCAGTGGCCACAGCTCGACTCGGAGGGGCCCGACGCACGGCAGTCACAGGGGAGGGGGGGGGGTGGTCAGCCGCAGTCTCCGGAGCAACCACGCGCAGCTCTATGTGACGGCTGAGACGAGGTACTAGTTTCACGGATGGCACCAGCTTTGGATGACGGTCCCCGCCCGTTGCCCCCGCATGTGCGCAGCGTTTCGACCAATCCATTCTTCGGCCGTCGCGAGGCGTTATCGCGCCCCAACAAGGACTGGACCGTGTTCGGCGCTCAGCCATGTGTGCGTTACGACCGGAAAAGTCTCCTTAGAGTTGTTGGACACAGATTTTCTATAACGCCGAACAACAGGAAGGCTGGAACAAGGCGGGTCTCCGAACAACGGCCGGAGAGTCATCTGGTCGAGCTATTGCGTAGATACGAAAACACCGGACCAAGTTCACAGTCCCGGCAAGTATACCACCCATCAAAAGATTATGTCACAAACAAATGACATCTGCATCAATCCTTAAATAGCCAAATGGTTCACCTATTTCGAAAGGGAAGCGAGCACATCACATCCTTTTGTTGAAGCGTCAGCGACCACCTTGGCTACACTAGCGTTCGGGGGGGGGGGGGGGGGGGGGGGGGGCACTGCGCAACCGGGACTCAAAACCGGACCTTCGTGTGAGAGTCCAACGAGCTAAGCACTTGACCACTACGGCCCCTTCTCCCACTGGCGAAAAGCATCGTTCAAAATATCGATCGGACCCCTGCGGTTATCCAGACGGGCACATACGCATTGTGTCCCCATAAACCTCGGCATCACGCGATACCGCCAGGTCAGACGGACCCACATGTGCCGGTGTATCCACGAATACATCCATGACTTCGGCACGACCTGGCGATGTCAAACTTCGTCAGCAGACCCGCCGTCTAAGCCAGCACAGGTCTGCCCGATCACCTTGATACAAGCGCAATGGCGGCCAGTTACGATACGGTTACCGGCTGTTTCGCTGTGATAGTAAATTACGCCACAAGGCAGGAGAAGACGCAACAAGTGATTGTCAAGTTGACATCCTCTGCACCAACTGCCCACTGATACCTGCCACTGGAGACTTAGGCACAGAAGACAACCATTTTTGTTTGGCCGGTACACCCAAAAACTGCTGTTCGTGCGGAAAACAAGCACATATGCCGATAATTCCAGGTACTGTGATGTGATCTTTTGAAAATACCTTACGCATATACCACAAAATAGAGTTTGTAGATCACGCAAGTGTAGCTTGCGCGGAAATTCCAATCGTTCGTAATGACAAGTAATCCCACCATTTGCAAACGCATTCATACTGTATGAGCACGCTCGGTGGAATCGACATGTGCAGTCATAATAACAGTAGCTCAACACTCAACAATATCCGTAACACTCTGAACAGACGGAGAGCAATTGCCACCGCAATATCTTGCAGTTTGCACACACTGACCTCAGGAAAAATGCCCCAAGAGGCCCCCAATAATCTCAGCAATAGGAAAGTCACCAACCAGCACCAATACCCCACGTGGAAGTAGCTCAGTAACCCCACGCTCTTCAGCGCCGTTTTCAGCAGCGCCGACCTTCAGCACAGTTTAACCATTTGCCCCTCTTCCTCACCTGTTCTCGCGGTCCTTGGAGATGACGCGGTTGTAGACGAGGTTGCCGAAGACGTCCAGGATGTCGGTGACCAGGGCGAACATGCTGGGGTAGAACTGCGGTACCGACACGTCCTCCAGCATCTTGCAAGCCTGCGGCGGAGAGGTACTGCTGATAGAGCGTGTGATACACGCAAACACCCATGTCGTGACATAACATGGAGGAGACAAGCCGCGGCTGCAGTCTCCGCCTACAGATGATCACACACTTGACATCTGCCTACAGATGATCACACACTTGACATCCGCCTACAGATGATCACACACTTGACATCCGCCTACAGATGATCACACACTTAACATCCGGCTACAGATGACCACACACTTGACATCCGCCTACAGATGATCACACACTTGACATCCGGCTACAGATGATCACGCACCTGACATCCGCCTACAGAGGATCACGCACCTGACATCCGCCTACAGAGGATCACGCACTTGACATCCGCCTACAGATGATCACACACTTGACATCCGCCTACAGAGGATCACACACTTGACATCCGCCTACAGATGATCACACACTTAACATCCATCTACATATGATCACACATTTGATATCCATCTACAGATGATCACACACTTGACATCCCTCTACAGAGGATCACAGACTTGCCATCTGACTACAGATGATCACACACTTAACATCCATCTACAGATGATCACACACTTGACATCCATCTACAAATGATCACACACTTGACATCCATCTACAAATGATCACACACTTGACATCCCTCTACAGAGGATCACAGACTTGTCATCTGGCTACAGATGATCACAGACTTGACATCCGGCTACAAATGATCACAAACTTGACATCCAGCTACAGAGGATCACAGACTTGACATCCAGCTACAGATGATCACACACTTGACATCCATCTACAGAGGATCATAGACTTGACATCCAGCTAGAGATGATCGCACACTTGACATCCAGCTACAGAGGATCACAGACTTGACATCCGGCTACATATGACCACAGACTTGACACATTCCACCAGATGACCAAAGACTCCACACCTGCCAACAGATGATCACATAATCCACACCTGCCAATAGATGATCACGGACTCCACACCTGCCAATAGATGATCACAGACTCCACACCTGCCGACGGATGATCGCAAACTCCACACTTGCCATCAGATGATCACAGACTCCACACCAGCCTACAGATGATCACAGACTCCATATCTACCAACAGATGATCACAGACTCTACACCAGCCTACAAATGACCACATGCTACAGATGATCACACACTCCACATCCGCCTGCACGCGATCACAGACTTCACCATGTACACAAACGCGGTGTTTCCAAGAATGACGGTGACGTCTGCCACGTTGACACGGCCCCAGTGGCCTCCGACGTGACTAACCGTCGTCGCTACAAGCAAGGTTCACCGCAGGATAACCGGGACAACCAGAGGCATCATAGATGCATCCTACATGGACTGTGCCCACAGCGAGCAAGTGTGAAGGGCATCCCCGGTATTATTCGTCGCGGTGCCAGCACTGCCAGCAAGGCACGCGCCGGGCGAAGTGTGCCTCTCCCCGTGCGCACCTGTGCGTTCCTAGGTCACTTGTCATGAGGTCACGTCACCGGAGTCTGTCAGAGGCGGCGTCAGCACCAGCTGCTGAGAACCGAACCAAAGACCTTTCCAACACCAAACGGCGGTTCGAACACACCGTGCCACCGAAGCGCCGGCCAGCAGAGGGGCGGCAAGAGGTTCCGGGGCCCGCGTCCCCAGACTAACCACCTTTGCACCCTTTGGTCGCTAACGATTCCCATCCCTATCACGACGCCCACTGCCGCGTGCGTCCACGGATGTCGGGACGCGCTGCAGGAGCTCCAGGTGACCTGACCCAGAGCCGCTGCCCACCTGGATGACCAGCTTGAGCGCGCGCACCCGCTGGTCAGTCATCCACGCCTCCTGCAGCTGCTTCTTCATGCGGTTCGTATGCGCTGTGGGCAGGAACCGCGGCAACTTGAGTGCCAGACAGGGTCACTGGTAGGGAGCACCGGCGAGGGGGCGGCGAAACAGATCGCACCCACAGGTGACAGATGCGTCGGGTGTGCCGTGAAGTTGTAAAAAGCCAACTTCACGATCGCCCGGCGATAATTCGCTGCCATGAACGGGTCGTACCAATGACATGAATCATGATGAACCTACTGATCATGAGTAACAGTCAAGACATTGCTATCCCTAATGTGCTGCAAATTGTTTACTTTTAGAAAAAGCCGCTTCAAATCATACAACAAACGTTAATACTTATGAAAATATACGTCACAGTTGGATCAGTGGCCACGTGACCAACAGGTTCATGATTCAGCAGCACTAGCAACTGCACGTCCGAGCCGCTCATCAGTCCTCCTGACATAGAGATACGTCACGAAACTAGCCTATTGATGCCAGAAAGTGACACCCCATTAACCTCATTGCCTGAAGAAAGGCTTCTTTGTCCATTTGGACTTATAGGTGGTTATCTTTTCTGACACATTGAGTGGTAAGATGTACTACATAAGATGTATGTACTAAGATGCATTTAGTAATATGCATGCACTAATATATGTTTAGTAAAATGCATGTACTAAGCTGCATTTAGTAAGATGCAAGTCCTAAATTGCATTCGGTAAGACGTATGTATGTATGTATATATATATATATATATATATATATATATATATATATATATATATATATATATATATGGTTACTCCACACCGTTCGCAGCAGCCCCGTAGCCTCGTGACCTCTGTACCAGCCGCCGAGACGGCGCCGCGTTCCACACAACAGCGGTCAGCCCGCTCACCTAAGACCTGGTGCTGGGTCAGCTGATCCCTCACCTATGACCTCGTGCTGGGTCAGATAATCCCTCACCTATGACCTCGTCCTGGGTCAGTTGATCCCTCACATGTTAACTCGTGCCGGGTCAGCTAATCCCTCATCTATGACCTCGTTTCGGGTCAGCTGATCCCTCACCTATGACCTCGTGCTGGGTCAGCTGGTCTCTGACGGTGCTGTCCTCCGGGGCTGGCTCGAGCTGCGCCAGCCGCGCCCGCGCCTGAGCACGCCCCGTCGGCCGCACCGACACTGACGAACGGACCGGGTCATATAAACCGACACTGACGAACGGACCGGGTCATATAAACAGACACTAAGGAACGGACCGGGTCACATATACCGACACTGACGAACGGACCGGGTCATATATAGCAACATTGAGGAACGGACCGGGTCACATATACCGATACTGAGGAACGGACCGGGTCATATATACGGATACTGAGGAACGGACCGGGTCATATATACCAACGCTGACGAGACCGGGTCATATATACCGACACTGAGGAACGGACCGGGTCATATATACCGATACTGAGGAACGGACCGGGTCATATATACCGGCACTGACGAACGGACGGGGTCAAATATACCGACACTGACGAGACCGGGTCATTTATGCCAACACTGAGGTAAGGAAGGGGTCACATACACCGGCGCTGAGAAACGGACGGGGTCATATATACCCATACTGAGAAGCGGACCGGGTCATATATACCGATACTAAGGAACGGACCGAGTCATATATACCGACACTGACGAGACCGGGTCATATATACCAACAATGAGGTAAGGAAGGGATCATATACACCGGCACTGAGGAACGGACCGGATTATATATACCGATACTGAGGAACGGACCGGGTCATATATACCGGCACTAAGGAACAGACCGGGTCATATACACCGATACTGACGAACAGACAGGGTCATATATACCGACACCGACTGACGGACCGGGTCATGCATACCAACACTGACGAACGAACCGGGTCATATATAGCGATACTGAGGAACGGATCGGGTCATATATACCGACACTGACGAACGGACCTGGTCATATATACCGACACTGACGAACAGACGGGGTCATATATACCGATACTGACGAACAGACGGGGTCATATATGCCTATACTGACGAAGCGATGGGGTCATGTATACCGATACTGATGAACGGACAGGGTCATATATACCGATACTGACGAACGGACCGAATCATGCATACCGATACTGAGGGACGGACCGGGTCATATATACCGACACTGACGAGACCGGGTCAAATATACCGATACTGAGGAACGGACCGGGTCATACATACCAACACTGAGGTAAGGAAGGGGTCACATATACCAACACTGATGAAAGGACCGCGTCATATATACCGACACTGACGAACCGATGGGATCATATATGCCGACACTGACGAACGGACGGGGTCATATCAGTGTCGGCGTATGTGATCCCGTCCGTTCCTGAGTGTCGGTGTCGTACATGTCATGTTAAACGGGCGGGATCACATGCACCGACACTCAGGAACGAACGGGGTCATGTACACCAATACTGAGAAACGGACGGCGTTACACGTAGTGGTGGGGGAGGTAGAGCAACAGTGCATATTAGGAAGAACAATATAATGATCCGGGGGAGAGAGAGGGGGGGGGGAGGGCAGATGGAATAGGTGGGGTATTACACTGATACTGGAGAGAAGGCTGGGACATCATTAGCTTTCGAACAGAGAAATGTGTTGCACATTATTTGTGATGACCTGATAAGGGGTAGGTGCTACCGCGCATTACACAAGTGCTAATGGTTAGCAACATCACCAGATCGTAGAACAGCGACGTTTGCATTGTTGGCACCACTGCCACTGACCGGTGTCACCACTGCTGTCCCGCGAGGTGGTGACGGTCACCAGCTCGGACGTGGTGAACTGGGACAAGATGGCGCGCCGTGCTGCCGGCCAATCGTCGTGCGCCACCTCGTCACGTGACATCTCGACAGGCTGAGGACGTATGTCACATGACGTTTAACTTCGGCGATCTCGGCTTAGCTATGACGCTCGCCGGGCGCCTCGCAACCACATGTACAAGTTGTATAATCTGAAGGTCAACACATGAGTTCCTTCGATGGAGCGCCAGTGCTGTCGGCACAGTAAATTGAAAAATTTTCCCTTTATTTTGGCATGTGATGTTTAGAGATGAATCTTGATCCAAGTTGCCTTACCCCGCAACATGTCATTAATATCTGATGGCACCTGTCTGTTCACATCACTGGATCAGGTTCACATATAAATACAGCAAACGGTTTTGAATCAAACCTAGGGTTAGGGAATCATGTCACTACTTCAAATATCACCAGATCCAAACAACTTGACACCTAGATATCGCAAAACAATCCATCAGCTCAAACTCGAAACTACCATATTTATGTGCAGATCGAGTGGGAATATTGAAGCCACTATGACATACTCGAAGTCTCCGAAGATAAAATCTCCTATTATGGGTGTGTATTTGCATGTCAATTTTTGTTAAGTTCAACATCAATATGGTTATTCGGTGTCGCATTTATGCCTCTTCTTTCATTTTCAGACTACGTCTCCACAACATCAGTTACGTTGCACATGTCCGTATCATGGGGATTTGAGGAATGTCATATATCCTACACTTAATTTTTGCATGTTACTGACATCAACCAAGGATGCAAAATCCAATAAAGTTACTTGGGAAAAGCCTGTCTGGGGAGTAATGAGCACTGGGTTTTGTCAAAGGCAGTCAATCTCAACAGCCCGACGGAGAGCTGTCACTGTACAGCATACACGATCGACTACGCTAGGAGAACATCAGCAGCACGCCAAGGTCGGACAGGGACCTGTTCAGGGTCGTCAGCTGCGTCGACGGCGGCCATCATTGAGAGAGGATCACTGCCTTCCATCAGCTGAGTCAGCGGGTCGCCGACGGTGGCGCCACCTTTTCCGCGCCACTGACGAAGAGGGCTCGCTTCAGATGGGCGGCATCGGCCTCGTTAGTGGGGATGGTGCCACACTGCCACATCATCAACATCGCAAATGACAGTTGTTTAAAAAACAAGTATTTCACACTTGTTGTCTGCTCCTGTGTCGTTCAGGTTATCACAAAATGCAGCCACCTCGATGATACAGGATACAAAATGCAGTCATGGTTTTGTTGTGATCTACTTCATCTGCACGCAAATAATCATGCGATTGATGCAGAGAACGCATCCGAAATTGCTTCAGATCATTGCCTTATTGATATGAAATGCATCCATCTAAGTGGTAAACATTAATTTTTGCTGATAACAGTAATATATTACAATCACATTTACAGAGTTACAGATCATACATCATGCCTGAACAGTTACAGATCACATGATTAAAGTCAGACATTCAAGGTCTTATCAGTATCTAATTGCTTGCCAAATCCCAATTGCAAAGCAACAAACAACTGGTTCCTTGCTCTGACCAGCAAATTAAGGCTGACTGTGTGTTGCTTAAATATTTGCTATCCATCTCACTTGAGCATTCCAACAATATAACACAGGGATAATTGCTTTTTTTTGCAAAAGCATGTCTTATAAATGGCCATGCACTTATCAGATTAGAACCAGTAAGTATAAACACAAAGATGCACTGTTTGCACAGGATGACCTGTACCATTACTTACATATATGCTGGATAATGGGTGAGCATCTGTTTCAGTGGAAAACAGTGGAGCATGTTCTCTCTGATAGTCCCTGGTACAGAAATAACTGAAATAAAATAAGAGAACACAGCTCAGATCATGGACAGGGCTCAAGGTTCTTCAGAAGTATTCAATGGACCCATCAGAGTGGAGGACTGGCCAGAACAGGCCATGATTCTGTGACTTAGCATATCACAATAGCAGAAAAGAGCATATGATAATTTTTGATGGGATTAGATAAACCTGCATAATACCCATCCCCTGCTCTAGTTGCCCACACATCAGTGCTCTGAGCCTAGCACACATGCATCAAACTCTGCCCAGGCAAAATCACTTAATTTTCACATCATTTTTGCTTCAATAAATGTCCCATAAGTGATGTTGCCTACAATGATCTTTCAAACATAATATGTTACTTAACATGCATTTCTATGCTCAGCTAATGGGGCTTTGAGCTCTCAGAATTATGTGGTCATCCACTGAAATTGCTGCAATGATTGCACTGCTTCTCTGAGTATGTCAAGCACAAGGCCTATTGTTTGTGTCTGAGGCAAGCCTCATGGCAGGATAACTGTTCAAAATGTATTTTAAAATAAATGTTGTGTAACATTTCTAGCATACCAGCATCATCGCTGCTAAAAGTTCAGTGCATGTATGCTGTAAACTTGGAAGGTCAGAGTCACAATCAAATTCAGCACACAAACAGCAAGTATTTCATGGAGCGATGATTTCATGAAACTAATTTTAGGTTAAAATGCTCTAAATAACCTCCCTGAGTGTAAAACAATAAAACAAATCTAGATCAAGCTAAACTGGCCTGAGTTTGGCACAAAACAGCAAGGTCTGGCATGGCTATCATTCATAGACCATGAGGAGCCTCTGCAGTAGATGGATTTTTATGCATGCTTGACTGCATGTAGTAAGATGTTTGTGCATGACCCTACCTTACAAGGTTGCTAATTAGCCTATGCTTTTACCAATTAAAAAATGATTCAATCCAAACCTTTCCAATTAATGCACTTTCAGGATCAGATATGAGGCTAAGCAGTGCTTGTTGTGTGAACCTTGAACACTGACATCTCATTGACTAATGTAGGTCATCCACACATTTTGATGACAAAAGTTCAATGTGCCACAGTGCTCTGCACAACACCCTGCATCTGCCATCGCCTGATGCTTAGCACAGCTACTGCAGTGGACTGCAGACCACACATGCCAAGTGCAAATAGTGAGCACTTACAACTAGAAAGCAAAAACTTAAGCCTGCTGCACCACAGGTGGGTGGATTGGAAGCCATGCCCTCTAACCAACTGAGCTATCTGGACAGGCTGTGAATGATCACTTTATAGTGCTGATTTTAGACACTGTATGAAAAAATATCCAAGGGTGCTTTCCCTACAAGTCCACACCGTGACTCAGTATAATACCACAGAAATCAGGACAATTTGCTGAATGAGTCTTTGGACCTTTACCTCTTACTCTGAGACACTTTGGAATCCGCTGACATGTTACTATAACGTTGTATGTCTTCAATATCTATTAACCCTTGTCAAAAATGGAGCGCCGGACTATCGACGAACGTCGCTGCGAAAAGGCGGCTTAGACCGAACTATAAACCCCATATAAGCGCAAGGCATCCACCACCGGCAAGCGAACCAGACCGCGCACGCATTGCCTCGGACGAATGTAAACAAACGTCACCGGTCTTTCCGCTGCCATATTGTTTGAAGGGATTGTACATGAAACAAGAAAAGCTACCCCAGGCCCCGTTCGATCTGTCATCAGCACGTTTGTCAGCTGGAATGCGTCACGTTATGAGTGTTGACGCGTTTGATATGTGAGGTGACGGGAATTTTTTTTTCGTTTTACCATACCCTCTGTTTTTACTTTTTACTTCAAATCACGGTCGCGCTCGATCTGTTGTCAGCACGTTTGTCAGCGGGGAATGCGTGACGTCATGCGCGGTGACGGTGCGTTCGATGTGGGGGCTGACGGGAAAGTTCTTAAGCCTTACTTTCTCTTCTTCCTTTACCTTTTACTTTAGACCTCCGCTAACTCTGGCTTACCGCCGACACCACTACGTGCAAAGTGGTGTTTGGAAGCATGGCTTTTACATGGTGTGGGAACAAGAGGGGGGGGGGGGGGCAGGGGGCCATGGGCCCTCCACTTTTCAATGTACGGGGCCATCAGTGTTAACTGCTCCCCCCCCCCCCCACTTTTCAGTTAAGGGTTGTGTTTAGCTCAATTTTGCACTACATTCAACATACATGCCTATTTACCTATTTCACTAGCCATCTTCCTCAAGCTACGCCATCTTTTTCGTTTGCTTATCGGCCATCGCTTACTGTCACAGCCACAGGACGGACGCCGCACGACCTGTGGAGACTTACACCCCAGATAACCCGTTCGTTGAGAAGACCCGTTCGTTGAGGCTGTTGTTGTTATGACTTGTGAGCGCGCATGTTCAAAACCGTATTGCATAGTTGTTTTTTTGTCATTTAATGGTCCAGACTGAATCTTGAACATTTTAAGACGAACATGAATTAGCCATTTCAATACAACTTTGAGACCCCATTTCATCTACAATCTACGATCAGGGAGTTCTCAATATCTCTGAAGAACACATAAAAATATGGAACTGGAATCTATGTGACAATCAATGGACCAACTGCAGCGATCAGGGATGTTGCGTCAATGAGGGTTCCTGTGCCGATCTAGGGCCAACTGCGCGGGTCAGAAGGCCTCCCGTGTCAGAAGGGGAATAATGTGATCTGACGTATCCTTCTAAGGGCCTTCGGATCGACCAGGAGATTCCGCCCCGTGCGACCAGAATGACAGGCAGAAGACACTGGCTATCTTTTGTTGTCGGAAGGAACGGGAGGACCCTTCAGTCCCTGACCGGAAACGGCAATATGCCTCTGGTGTTCTACCCGAGGGGCCCCTCGCCCCGAAGGAAACAAGGGGCCCCAATGTTGTTGAATAGAGGGGGTCGCAATGCGTAACAGACGAAGAAGGCCATCCCAGGTTGGCCTTAAAACGTTCATTTTTCAGAATGGTTCACTGAAACAAATGACATCAAAAGGTCTGAGCATGCCCTCCCGCAGCCTCAAGGGCAGGGACAGCGATGGGCTGAGTTGCAGCCTCCGTAAAACCGAACGGCGTCGGCCACTGCAAGTGCCATGAGACGGCGGGCGCCGGGTTTATTGTCTTCTGGACAGGATAATAGTTACAGAAACACAAGAAAAGAAATTCTACCTTTACTCTTCCAGTTCCAACACCAGATTCCAGCGCCACTTCACAGTGCTTTAAGGGCCAGCCCGTTCTTATCATCAGTCTAAAAATGATGCGTGAAATATCGCCCAGACTGCCTTCTAAATGTAAGATTTGATGTCCTGAGGCATTCAAAAGATGTTTCCTTCAGAAGTGTTGTCATTTTCGGCCACCCGCTTGCCACGACTCAGTATAAGCTGTTGGGCCGATGCTATGCGGCCCACGAAGACTGCAACGCCTTTCGTCGCAGTTTTTGTTGCTAAGGTTTGTGAGCGTGCATGCTCAAAACTACGTCACATAACATGCATGGCTAAACGATTTAAGGGCTTAAAGATAATTATTTCAGAAGCGTCATCATTTTTGCCCACCGGTCGGCCATGGCTAAGAGTTTGTCGCTGGGCTAAGCCTAGTCCACGTTCCCCATTACCAACAGCTGTCCACAAGCTGCAACCTGTTGTCGCCAGAGGTAAGCGCGTCACAACTGCTCCCGCGGCTTGAAGGTTTGTCGCTTATGTATGGCGTAGGTACTTTCGACGTCATAGGTTGGTACTCCAGTTGGTACTTCACCCATGAGGAATGCGACCTTGGTGTCGGGGTTTTTGTTGTTAAGATTTGCGAGCGCGCATGTTAAAAACTATGCTAATGAATTGTACTACTTTTCGATTCTGACTGAATTCTGAACATTTCCAGACAAACATAGCTTGGCCATGTTAACACGCGCTCGGGTGGGGATCAAATTGACCCCCCAAAGGTTTTTCCAGAATGCTTTCCGAACGGCACGGCGTAGCCGCGCCAAATTTTGCATAGCTGTAGACAATTGAATAGCGGATCGTTTGGTATCAAAAATTTAGATGTACCTTGTAAGGTCGCTGACGTATGGGACGTCAAATTTAGGCCATGGTTTCAGCGAAGGCAATTTTTAGGGAATCCTTCAATCTGATCCAACAACGGAGTGTTAGACGAGGCCATACATCTCTGAGATGTTTTCTCAGACAGCACAACAATTGAATAAGCAGATTAAATTGACCTAAGGTCAGGTATGAAGGTCGCACCCAAGGTCAAACCAACCCGTTTTGTTACTCTAGGGCTTGCTGTATGGGATAGTTTCTGGCGCTCACTTCGAGTTTATTGAAAACAAAAACCGCATTATACATCTCCCATGGATTTCTTAGACGTCAGAACAGGTCATTGGCCTAAAATGACCTAAGTCAACATTTTGTTTTAACAACATACCGCCTAGCGTAACTTTCGTCGCTTAGTCAAATGCCAAGCTCAAAGCAATGCTGTATGATTTTGGTCACTTTAACCTTCAAAATGTCAAAAAAGGTCACTGACCTTGAATGGGAATGTGGCCTTTTGCTCAGAATGGTTATCTAGGTTCTGGAGGCACTTTGGAGACCAACTTGGAACTTGACCTTGTTTGACTTTTTGACCCAAAGGTCATGACCTAGGAATCTGAAAATTCGATCTGAGTGAGTTCACGTACAGGTCAACACACCCTGTAAATTTGGTGTCTCTAGCTTTCTTAGTTCCCGAGATCTCAGGTGGGGTCAAATTGACCCTCCCCCCCCCCCCCCCCACCCGAGCGAAGGGTGTATAGCCGGCCATCCAGGCGCGTGTTTAGACACATTTTTGACCACTTGATCTGCAAGCAAATGTTCATCTTTACATTTCGATCAAACGCATTAATTTGCAATCTACCTCGCGAAATCAACGCCTGATATCTGCAGTTTTTTGACTCCATACTGAGAAATTGACCTCACGGTGTCTTCTGGTTTGTGGTCTGGTTGAAAGGTAAAAATAACAATACAGCGAAGAAAACTGTGTACCCTTTTTTGCAAGTAACCTAGATCCAACATTTTTCGGTGGATGTCAACATAAGAGGAGCTTTCCTCAACCATTTGATCTCCCTTGGCAAGGCTCTGGCTACGCTCCTGCCTACGGACAAAAGCAGATCAAGTCGGCTGCGTTGAATGCTGGGCAACTAAATGTCCGTTATGCCAATTCATACCTTGGGCAGGCAGCTTCTCAGAAGCTCTTTTTTGAGTTGGTGTGGTGTAAGGAAAGATAACTCGGAATGCTGTAGCAGGTGTCCAACATATGTTTTATACACCAGTTAGTAGAAACACTGATACAGAAGTATGCAACAAAACAGGCATACCATCAGTTCGCAGTCAGTCATGCGGGAGACGGCCGGGTCAGGGCAGTGGCCGTCGACGGGGGACGGGAGAAGGGCCCAGATAAAGCTTATATGCCGGAAGGGCCTTCATTCCGTGGCCTGGTTTTTAAAGCAGAATATTTCATTTATGGTTTTTGTCACCTTCCTTTTTTGGCGGTGTCTAGCTTCCGATTTTTTTCCCGCCTAAAATGCTGCGATAGGTCTTACCTCTTGAAAAGCATACAGCGAAATGAAGGCGCATGAACCCTTTTACCTTCCGGTGCGGCCATGCCAGGGGTTCCACGGAAGTTCAAACAAGGCGTATATTTTGGCGCGAGCAAGATACATAGCATGTGACATGCAACCATAGCATGCAATAATGTGAGTTGAAATGCCCTTTCGCTATCATCGGCAATAACGCCCATATTTCTGTCGGACGCGCTGCATCCCTGGTGAATGTCTGACCCCAACATGATGATGCACATATTAGACATCTGAATTCCAACTTTCTGTGCATGCTTATGTGAAACTGACCTTATCGATGACAAACATTTGAAGACGGATGTTCGTGTATCCACGTCACACATTTTCAAAAATCTTGAGCAACGGAATTTTTTTCTACAATCTTCATCCTTGGCAAACAACTGCAAACAAACTTATCCATACGAACGTGTACGATACAAACAGTTCCGCGCTGAACTTTTTGCAGACTCCTGTTTTGCGTCTTGCCATGCAAGGTTTCTAAGTAAGGATCTTTCACATTACGAAACTGATACCGTACGCAGCTTATCTTGACATACTTCACGCGTGCAAGCTTGTAACTTGCAAACAGTTGTCACACGGCCTTTTCTATGCGTGTTTTTGTCTGGAAGCAAAGATAACACCCTCCGGGTGTCATCTGGTGGCTGTGCCAACGACTCCGTTGAGGTTAAAAGTACGCATGGAAGAAGATCGCACACAATTCTTCTTGAGACAGAGTCTGCATGCCGAAGTACGATAGAAAAGCATAGGTACGCCAAAGAGCTCGTCATGCAAGAAGTTAATCATGTCAAATGCTACAAAAGATGCAGGCTGTGGGACAAAATTTCCGCCGGGAAACTATCGTAACAAACATTCCGGCAGAGAAGTCCATGGGAAAAGGTCGCATGAGTTTTTTGAAGGTCAATACCCTCCAGCGGTAAAAAAGCGTTGCAAGCATTCACACGTTGCCATGTAGAGTTGTAATGTCAATAATGCGTTTTTACGCAAATACTCACACTTACATGCTGTCCAGAGATAGTTTGCTTCCTTTAAATACGGCGTCAGATGCGTTATTCATTGATGCTGAATGCATTTCGAGACATTGATGCATCTCTCTTTCCTTTCTCCTGGTTATTTGACGAGGAATAAGGCTGTCAGTACAGTGCTATGCGTGTGCAAAGCTCCTCATAGTTGCGCTGGGCAAATTCTAAAACTTTAAAGGGCTCTGTAATACTCAACAAATGTTCATCGCTTAGGTAATGTAATACGCACGTAAATAAAAGCCACGGAAGGAGGGATTGTACATAAACAAGTCAAAAACAGCACAGGGTTGAGAAAAATGATTATCACAGATGTTCGGCGGCGATTTGGCTTAGGTGGCGCCCCCGCCTTTCTCCCACTCCCATCTTGTTGGCAGGGGGATCAGCGCTGACTGTGGCAAATAATACCACGAATTAATTATGCAAGCACTTCTGTAAAGAGGCTTCTGACTCTCCTCCTGCCAAGTGGTACATGAAAAATACAGCATTGTTTATTCCTAACGGGTCTGGTTTGCAGGTGAATGCAGTGAATTAAAGGCATACGACAAATGGACTAGAGGCTACCGTTTGACGATGACAACCGAGGACATTTATTTTCGCTCCTTAACTTCGGGGATCATTTTTTCAATGCAGTGGTTTCAGCGCCATCTGCGGGGGGGCCTTTCCTGAAGAATGGCTTCTAGTTGCCAAATAATGTTGGGCGTCTGGTTCTAAATCTATAATAACGCTCCAGAACTCTTTTAGAGCGAAATCATACCGCATAGGAAATAACCATAAATGCTTCTGGACACGCCCATGTCATACATAGGATCGCACACTTTCTCAGGGATTAACAGTTATATAACTTTAACCCTCACCCTGCCAAGGGAAAGAGTGGTGCACCCTTGCCCCCCCCCCCCCCCACCCTCCCGAAGTTTCTGAGGATTCATCTCTGGAACGTGCAACCGGACCGGACGCTTCGTTATCCTATGGCTACTCATTGTCTGTGTTTTGACACCAAACGCGTTTCTCTATCAGTTCGAATTCCGAAAAGTGAAAAAGTTGTGGCAATACTGATTGTTGATCCACGGTCAGACCTGGCGGCGGGCGGCAATGGACGGATCCGCCAGCGGCGCATGTTGGCGAACACTGTTACGTCAACAGAGCCGTACATAATAAACGTGCACTCAAAGTACATCCATTATATATTTATACATATCCATATATGCACACATATATATATATATATATATATATATATATATATATATATATACATATGTATGTATGCATATGTGCGTGTGTGTCTGTGATTATGCTCAAAATCAAATAAGAAAAACGTATGTGTAAGTTGTATGCTGTTAAGCTGCTTTGTTACTTAAACGTACATATGCAACACTGAAGAACGTTGTTTCCAGGAAAAATTGGCATTTGATCTGTCCTAGTAGGGTAAAGTACGGACCTAGAGGCATCAACCTGGCTATTAACCGCAAGATTTCATTAGAGGCAATCCGCCGGGCTCTCTACGGGACTGTTTCTTCCGTAGTTTGGTAAAGACATGGGTCGCATCGACCCCTCCCCATCTCCATGAAAAAGCGGCGAATTGGGGCGAAGGTGAAACGACGCAATACGATGCGGCATCCGAATACTCTCCTGGCTTACAAATGCCGTTGAATACAATTATATCGGTTAGCTCACAAAAACTGGAGGTACAGCTTTTGTAAGCAACGAAATGATCAGGCAGCCTTTACCAGCTGGGAGCGCCGGTTCCAGACTTATTGCATTGAGCAAACACAGCGCCCATTCAATTGCTGTCAATAGCTGACTTTCCAAACACACTATACAACCACAAATACCACGGACCGACAAAAGCTCTCGACATGCTGAAAGTCTTTACAGAGAGTTGGTAACTGGACTAGTAGTTTTCAAGCATCGCAACAATTTAGTGGAGTCGCCCATGTCGGACTTCTGACACTTAAGTTGTCAATAAGGTCAAGCATGACCCTCTAGACCTGTGTTTCTTGGATATCAAGCAGCTGAATAAAACTGCATCTGATCAATTGCATGCAACCGCCAGAAACTCCGACCAAGATTATGGAGGACAGTGGTTAGCGGTGTGTTCGGTGTTGCCGGCCTACGTCGGCCCGCCCAGCCAGCCTGCCCTCTGACCGGCACCTCCGCACCCCTGAAGAGGTGCGCTCGCTCGCACCTGCACTCGCCACTGCTGAGATCCCAGCAGGCGACCGGCCAGCGGGACACCCGTAATTGCCGGGGGAGCTCCAAACGCGACCAACGATCCATCAACGAGTGAAAGGCAAAATAGGGCTGGGTCCATGCCCGTAGCGCACCAACTTCCGTCAGGAAATACACTAACTACCTCAAGTGACATGGCAGTGAACTGATCAATACACTGACTACCTCAAGTGACATGGCAGTGAACTGATCAATACACTAACTACCTCAAGTGACATGGCAGTGAACTGATCAATACACTAACTACCTCAAGTGACACGGCAGTGAACTGATCAACTCTGACGTGAGCTAAGCTCGCCCACGCGCAGCCCATGCGGATGAGACCCATGCTAGCTCTCCCTCTTATGTGCAGATGACATGACAAAACCAGACCAGGAAGCACGCGACACGAAAATTATTATCCACATAGTTAAGATGATAACATATGGGCAGTCCATCTGGGCCCAAACGGGACCCAATCCCATGCTGGCATGTAGCCATCTTGCCCACCTGCGGCCCGTTTGGATCTGGGGCTATGCCGCTCCTCTTTGATGCAAACTAGTTTGTACACGAGAAGAAAATATCCAACCATGCAGCGCGAAGTACAACAATTAATACACTATTGTAAAAGATGGCAGCATATGGGAAGCCCATCTGAGTCTAACATGGAGCCCAAAGACTTGCCCACCTACGGCCCATGTTGACATGAGCCCAACTTGCCCACATGCATCCCATATAAACCCCAACCCGGGCTGTTCTCCTTTGTTACGTGCTCATTTGTACACGACAAGGAAAAAATCGGAAGTAGGAGCACAAAGTAGACAGACTAATGCACCTGCGCCGAATATGGTAGCGTATGGCCAGCTCATCTGCGTCTCAGATGGAGCCCAAATACTAGCCCACCTGCATGCAACCTTCACGGACGTGAGCCGACCTAGCCCATGCTCATCTCATTGCTTCTCAAATAAAAGGCTTTTATAAATTATACAAAGATTGAAAACATACGTGGTGTCTAATGAAAATAAAGTGGGCTTAATCCGGTGATAGAAAAATGGGGGGGGGGGGGGGTAGGCTATCGGGCTTTCCATTCGGCTCCCCAATAATTTACAGAAGTTGACACCCCTGACCTCGTCCAAACGTCCATGATGCCAGTCACAGTGCATGGCATCAGCCGACGTATCGACACGACATTTATCGGTATAGGATACCTCTCGGTAAAGTTTGGTTGATTTCAGCAACATGCGGCTTCAAATACAAATACATTCTGAGTAATGCTCGGTAAACCAGAAACTGGTCGCTGGGTTACATGGCCGCGGGTTAGCCAACCCCAGCAGATTGCGAACCGGTTTAGGTTGACAGTGGCGGGTCGAACGTTGAAGCGCCGCAATTGCCACGTGGCACGCAGCAACGTAGTCGTCAGAGCCCGCAGTTTCGGATAGTCGAGGAGGCGTATTGCTTTCGGGCTCGTGTTGGTGCCTTTCGCCGTGCTTTAGTTCTTTCTCGATATTGGATTGACGCGCAGTGAACATAGTATAGGAAGATGAATGTTTTTCGGCTCAGTGGGGATTTGTCCCATCTCTTTGCGATCATCATCCTTCTGGCCAAGATATGGACGTCAAAGTCATGTGCAGGTATCTTGAGTGTGCGGGCGCCTAACGGTGCACCGATTTGAGACGATGTGGGTCCTCACAAATTCTATTGCTTGTGGCCCTCCAGGTGACCTTTTTTGCAGATGTCCTTACCTTCTAGGGTGAGAGGCAGGCAGCTAGTCTGGTCAGTATCAGTGAAACTTGCGTTGTAAGTCAGGTGGACAGTTAGAAGTTGGCCTGTTGCATAGGGCAGTTATGCATTGTTGGTGTGCTTGGCTGTGTGCCGTGCTTGTGTGCATTTGATTATTCATCCACCTTTTGTGCATGTGAATGCACAGTGAATGGATTTCATGCATGCTGGTCCCCAGCTGCTGGGAATGTCACACAGGTTGAATGTCAAGAAATCCTGGCATACCATCAGTGTAATTAATCAGTTGAAGTAGACACATTTCAGTCTTGAGAGTTAGAACCATTCCATGCCAAGTGGAGCATCTTTTCAGCTCAGCAGCTGATTTTATCTCCAATATCTAAATGTTCATAATTTCAGATAAGATTAAATTCTGTGCTTTTTGAGCTATTTCCTCAAATTGGTATGCTGGACATTTGAATTTTTGTCTGCTGGAGTATGCAGGATGTATACATGCCGCATGTGATTTGTTTTAATCTGATGCATGACATATATTTTGCAGGCCTGTCAGGGCGCTCTCAGGCTCTGTTCCTGGTAACTTATCTGAGTCGCTACTTAGACCTCCTCTCCAACTTTGTCTCTATCTACAACACCACCATGAAAATTTTCTTCATAGTTGCATCAGCAGCAACAGTCTACCTAATATTTGTGAAGTTTAAATCCACATATGACAGGAACCATGACAGCCTCAGGTGAGCACCAGGAGCTGACTGTGTTGGGTTACTTGGACAAGACACTGTAGCCCACAGGTTTGAGCCCAGTGCCAGAGTGTTGATAGACAACATAATGATGTCTGTTATAGTTTATTATTGTCGCATAATAAGCTGAGCCTGTGGTTAACGAGGCCATCAATAGCCATCAATGCCGCCAAGGGCCCTGCATGCGGCAACAGCAGGCACAGATCAAGCAATATGTTTACATTACTAGATCTGTCATATTGCAGCTGTGGTTAGCCACAAGGGGTTGTGTGATATGTCCCATTGCTATGAATAAAGTCTGTTTGATATAGCTAGTCTGAACAGAGGTCCACCTGGAGGTATGATCTGTCTAACAAAATGTGTATGTGATGAGGGGAAGAATTATTATCTTGCTCTGGTTAATGAACACATGTTCTTCTCACATCTGACTCCCTGCTGTACTGTCATTGCAGGATAGAGCTACTTCTGCTGCCAGCTGCTGTCCCAGCTCTTATCACATGTTCTTCCCACATCTGACCTCATGCTCTACTGCCATTGCAGGGTAGAGCTACTTCTGCTGCCAGCTGCTCTCCTAGCTGTGATCACATGCTCTTCCCACATCTGATCTCCTGCTATACTGCCATTGCAGGGTAGAGCTACTTCTGCTGCCAGCTGCTGTCTTAGCTGTGATTACATGCTCTTCCCACATCTGACCTCTTGTTCTAATGCCATTGCAGGGTAGAGCTACTTCTGCTGCCAGCTGCTGCCCTCGCTCTGATCATAAACCATGAATTAACTGTCATGGAGGTTAGTTGTGGGAGTTGACCAGCACCAATTTTGAGGGTATGCAATCAGCTGAGAGAAACTGTCCCTAGAGCAGCAAGTATGTACCCTGTGTGCTTCAGCTTGCAGTGGTGCTGAACAGTGCTTCTGTAACAGCTGAATGGTGATCCAAGAATCAGGGCTGTGAGGCATTCTCTTTTTGTCTTACTGTTTCTGGGTTATCTATCCTGTCTTCATTAAGCTTTTGCATCATTTCTTGATCATTGGTATTCCAGATTACCATCAGTTAAGCACTTTCACACTGTCACTGGCAATAGAAGGACATGCTAGGATGTGCTGAGCTTTGAGCCACTCCATCTCACCTGTGCTGATTCCTCAGTGTTAATTAATGTAGACAATCAGCATATAACAAAGCTGTGATTGCTACCTTTGTAAGTCATGGTATGGCCTGTCACCGCCTGGGTTTGACCAGTATGTCCAAGAAGTGGCCGCTGTGTCAAGGTGGCTGTCACGACCTCGCTCGGGGCCCGCCAGGTCTGCTGGACGTTCAGCATCTACCTGGAGGCGGTCGCCATCCTGCCGCAACTCTTCATGATCTCAAAGACGGGCGAAGCAGAGACCATCACCAGCCACTACCTGTTTGCACTGGGGGCATACCGGGGACTGTACATCCTCAACTGGATCTACCGGTGAGCCCGGGCCAGCCATCAGTTATGTGGTGTGTTTTTGGATTTTTCTCAATGTGCCTTGTGGCTATTTTCGTGACGTGACGTGACGCGCTTTTGGCCTTTTCTTCCCCTGGTTACACACTGGGTGTGCTGGTTGACCCCCTTCCCCCCTCTAGTTGTGCAGTATCCCATTAGTATCCCACCCAGTATCGTAGGTAACTGCCAGAGAAACGTCTGTTTGGCCGCTGGCGTAGAGACGCGAAACAAAAAACAGACGTGCACTTTGTCGTCAGAGATAGCCACCATCCTGTTTTAAGGTATTCATTTGTTCTTGAAAATTTTGGCATGTTTTGCAGTTACACCTGAGTATCATAACACTATCCAAAACCCTCACCTCCCTCCCTTGTTATGATTGTTACGCTTCTGTCGCACTCAATAACAACCCTATTCCCTGCGAAGCTTGATGTAATTTATGGACGACCCGTGCCTCCGCGCGTGGTGACCTCCTGAATGCGACGAGGTCACGATGGGTTCCCTGTATCCGCGGGTAGATCTACCAGTCAGAGTCTGGTCTGTTCCTTCGTCCGGGCCGTCCCTCATCTGACTGTCCCCATGTGCCTCTCATCCCCTCTGTGTGACCCTGGCTTCTCGACTGCAGGTATTACTACGAGAACTTCAGCGACCCGATCGCCATCGTGGCGGGCGTGGTACAGACGGTGCTGTACGCCGACTTCCTCTACCTTTACGTGACCAAAGGTAAGCGGACGCCCCGCCCCGCCCCGCCCGCCCCGCCCCGCCCCGCCCCGCCCCGCCCCGCCCCGCCCCGCCCCGCCCCGCCCACGGGGCTGTGCCGCCCGCAGTATGCGCTCGTCAGCGTACCACACCCGGCCTCTGGTGGCTGTGGGCTTCAGGAGCGCGCGGCCGGCGCGTTGGCCGTGTCCGCTTGCGTGTGGTGCCGGTCTGTCGTGTGTGCTGTGACGCTCTGGGCATGTCATGTGCTGTGACGCTCTGGGCGTGGCATGTGCTGAGCTCAGCTGCCGGTGGTGGTGGGCTGGCTGTGAGGTGGCTTGGTCGCCGGCAGTCCGAGCGGGCCGGCGCCGCCAGCCTCACTCCACGGGGCGGCTGGCTCGCCGCATATGTGGAAACGCTGTGGTCGCCGCGCATAGAAAGCCGCCTACCATTTCCAACATGTTTTTTTGGGTTTGGTAGGCTGAATGTGGACGTAGTTTAGGACTTGTGACCTTTTTATCCGACAGGTGTCGCTATCACCATCGTCACCAATACGGCGACGGATGTGGGTGCCATATGTTTTTTATCTGTGCCCTCCAAAGGAACTTCTCAGCGATTAAACCATTTCGGCTTAGGACTTCGTTTTCACTCCATTTCCAATAAGTCCCACGCGGAGGCGATGGCATGACTTCCTGCCGGTGAAACTGACGGCTTAATTGCTGGGCCTCCTGGAATGGGCGCCGTCCGTGCGGGCGTTATTTCTAGACCGGCGGCAGTCCTGTATTCGCGGCTAGCTCGTGCCCGAAGTGACCCATCCGTCTGTCATTGCTCTGTGAGATGATGTCAAATGCCCTCCCCGTCAAAAGTATACCACCAAATTAGCCACATTAGCCAATTATCACCGAATTAGTCATCGCCAAATTAGCCTTCGTTTCCCTATTCGGAGGAAGTCATGCTGCCATTGATGCGGAAACCAACCAAACTCACTCCACATCTGTGTGACTGTGTTTTGGCGTAGGTTTGAGGCGGTGTCATTTTGCCGTGTTGTCACGTGTGGGACGGCCCGTCACGCTCCAGCGGACCCGCACGTCCCGCCAGAGTTGGCCCGTTTCCCTGCTGCCTGGTGGGACACCGCATATCCCGTATTTCTCCCCGCACTCGGCGTTCGCAGATGACTTTATAAAGGACGCTGCCACCATCGAAGCGGCCAAATTGTTGCCCGAGGAGGATTTCACGACGGAAATGGACGATGACAAGGGCCGTGTGGCGGTGTCGGGGGTGGCTGTAAGTAGTCGAGGCGCGGACCCCTCTCCTTCCGCCGCCGGCGCGGCCCCGCCCCGCCCCGCCCCGCCTCGCCGGCTCAGCACGTGCTCGCTTGTCACTAACCAGGCACGGGCGGCGGCGTAGTTGGGCCGCGGACGAGCGTTGACCTCCGCCTCTCGGCTGCCCCACTCTGGACAGTCGAGAGGGTCGATTTTAAACCACCGGATGATACGTAGCGCCTGCTTTTGCCCGGCCTTTAAACATACAATACATCTGGCGGGGCGGTAGCTATTGGTAGTAATGTAGTACAAAGCGCGGAGGCTAAGATGTTGTATTGTTCGTTCGGATGTGCGCATTCTCTGGCATGGCTTACCGCGGGGCTCTAGCGTGGGTGGAGGGTGGCCGTGCTTGTGCGACGCGGGTTGAATTGTTTGCCTTCCGGCAAATGGACAGCGTGCCGACTAGAGGTTACCACGCTACTAGAGTCGCTAGATGTGTTTTTAGTCCAGCTTGAGCTCTGACAGCCATGGATCGGCGCCAACCGCCGAGCGCTGAAGGCAGCCGCCGGTCCCGTCGGTGTCGTCGCCCCCGCGGAGAATGCTGGGTTGTTTAACGTAGGCTGTAGCTGGTGTCGGGTCATGCGGCGACGATTCCGATAGAAGAAGCAAAGCGGTGCGTTTGCCAATTGAAGCAATGGCTGGTGAAATGCCAGCTGCAGTGTTGTTGAAGGCGTGTCCGGGACGGGCGTTTAGCTTGGATTGTTTTTTCTCCCAGAAATTAACAAGACGTCGACATTTAGTGGCATTTAGTGGTGAGGTGAGCGTCGCCGAGTTCAGAACTAGAAGCTGGAAATGAGACCACCGCTTCTGTTGTGAATTATCGGCGCCGTGTTTTTTTCAAGGGGGGGGGGGGGGCTGAAGAATGAATGTGACGGAGGCGACCGTTGTCAGCCGTCAGGAGGGCTCGTCGGCGTGCCAGGTCACGCTTTACTCTTGCGGAATATGAACAACCTCTACAGCCAGTTAAACATTCAGCGAGAGCGATAGAAGGTAGTGATGAGTTTTGCAAACTGCATTAGCGTTGCCCTGGCTAGGTCAGTCAGCCGTGGCTGCGGTGGGATTACGGGCGGGACCTCGCTTTGGCTATGAGTTTCGGACGTTTGGCGTCTGAAGGTGAAGTTTCGGTAAACTGCCGTACAGGCGTGAAAGGCCTGTGAAATCAAACGCCTCGTAGGAGAAGGTGATGGGATATCGCCCTACCCTCTCAACCTTTAACGCAGTATTGCTGGAGTCACGTGATTTTCACTGGCGCTGGTGCCTGTGCGATCCCACTTTGAGGCCTGTAGAAAGTAGCCCTAAGTTGGGTTTTTGCAGGTCAAATGAGGTCGAAACGAAATTATGTATCTCGTAACGTTCACTGTCGAATGTCACCAGTGTCAAAGATGTGGCCACGTTTGCGCAGGCAACTGGTAAGCATGCGGCCGGGCGTCGCTGGAAGCAGCCATAGTTCGGATGGTCATGACGCGCTTGTGGTTATCGAGCGCGAGATCGGGCTGAAGATCAGCCGGGCGCGTCGATTCGCATGCCCATAGGCATATTCAGGGTTTCACGTATCGTAACATTTCCATATCATATCCACATCTTATCTCTCCATTGCATGTATTGAGCGGCCAAGTCATGTCAAGTCGCGGTGGCTCCTTTGTCTGTATTGAGCGGCCAAATCAAGTCTCCGTCCAGTTAAGACGACAGTGCTGACTCTGATGGGAGGCGATGTCTGCACTGCGTCCTCGGCATCAGACTGACGTCCTCGGCATCAGTCTGACATCCTCGGCATCAGACTGACGTCCTCGGCATCAGTCTGACGTCCTCGGCATCAGACTGACGTCCTCGGCACCAGTCTGACGTCCTCGGCATCAGACTGACGTCCTCGGCATCAGACTGACGTCCTCGGCATCAGACTGACGTCCTCGGCATCAGTCTGGCGTCCTCGGCATCAGACTGACATCCTCGGCATCAGTCTGACGTCCTCGGCATCATACTGACGTCCTCGGCATCAGACTGACGTCCTCGGCATCAGACTGACGTCCTCGGCATCAGACTGACATCCTCGGCATCAGTCTGACATCCTCGGCATCAGTCTGACGTCCTCGGCATCAGACTGACGTCCTCGGCATCAGACTGACGTCCTCGGCATCAGTCTGGCGTCCTCGGCATCAGTCTGGCGTCCTCGGCATCAGACTGCCATCCTCGGCATCAGTCTGACGTCCTCGGCATCAGACTGACGTCCTCGGCATCAGACTGACATCCTCGGCATCAGTCTGACGTCCTCGGCACCAGACTGATGTCCTCGGCATCAGACTGACATCCTTGGCATCAGTCTGACGTCCTCGGCATCAGTCTGACGTCCTCGGCATCAGTCTGACGTCCTCGGCATCAGTCTGACGTCCTCGGCATCAGACTGACATCCTCGGCATCAGTCTGACGTCCTCGGCACCAGACTGACGTCCTCGGCATCAGATTGACGTCCTCGGCATCAGACTGACATCCTCGGCATCGGACTGACATCCTCGGCATCCGACTGACGTCCTCGGCATCAGATTGACGTCCTCGGCATCAGTCTGACATCCTCGGCATCAGTCTGACGTCCTCGGCATCAGTCTGATGTCCTAGGCGTCAGCACGACGTCCTCAGCGTCAGTCTGACGTCCTCGGCCTCATTCTGACGTGTGTCGTCACGCGCCCACGTCAGAGGCGCGTCGGACGTGTGGCGGATGCCCTCGAGAGTCAACGGCCGCTGTGCCCTTCGGGGAACTGCGGCGCCAGCTTCCGGCGACTCTGTAGTCGCGTGGCGGGGCGGGGGTGGCGTCTGAGCGACGGGCGAGGATACGGTGGGGAATGGAGCATGTCCGCCCCCTCGAGGACTAGCGGGCAAATGAGCTTTCTGAGAATGGTCCCGGGAGTAGATATAGGCTCAGCAAACGCCTGTCCTGATACCGCTTGTTATTTGTCTTCCAGCGGAGACGCCCGCGTCTGGTCCGTGGTGGGCCACGGACAAGTGTTGTTGTAGATGCCGGGAAGGCCAACGTTCAGGGGATGCCCCGCTTGCAAGGGATGCCCGACCCAATGTATGCCCTGGCTTCAAAGGATGCCCTGGTCCCAAGGGATGCCCGGGTCCCAAGGGGCTAGGCGGTGCGCGAATAAATACAACTCACCTTAGTGTTCTTTTACGTTGTTCGTGGGGGAAGACAGGTGAGTCGTGTGTTCCGCTGGGTGCTATCTCCCAAGCGGGCCTGTTGGGCCACTAGGCATCTACCATCCCAGAGGTACGGGGTTCGATTCCCCGCGGCACCCGCCCTTCCTGCCAGGGTGAGAGGCAGGCGACGCCATATAGCCTTAGCAGCTGAGTGTGTCGTAAGGCCCCAATGACATGACATGACAGACATCTACCATCGGCGTGATCACGTGGCTATTTGCCCCCCCCCCCCCCCGTCTGATCTGACCTGGTCGTAGTGAACCGTGATGTGGCATAGGCATCTGCAGTGGATGTATCAGTCGCCTACATGGCCGGCGCGGCAGTGCTCCGGGTGCAGCCAGAGGTGGGCACGTCGCACTGCGGCCACTCGGCCACCCGTGGTGGGGGAGGCAGGCGCGCGCAAGTCCACTGTGTTTGTGCACGGCTGCAGTGAAGAACGCTCCAATTTATGTGTTTTGTTTTTGTTTACTCGCATTCTGCATTGTTGGTAGGTACAAATGTTGCCCGTCGCTAGCTTCAGTTTTGACATTCTTAAAAAAAAAACTAGTGGACAACGGCAAGTTCGGCCATGTTTCACCCTTCCCCTCCAGTGTTCACGTTGAAAAATTATTTTTGCGTCACCCCATATGGACCTATCCTGTCTTTTTCCACGGCCAGCAAGGCGTGTGCGCATGTTCAGCGAGAAAAAAAAGATGGTCGAATACATTGGAACCGATGCCACCAGGCCCTGAACAGTAGCCTTTGTCGAATAATTTTTCGGTCGAGATTTCCGGTGTGGCTGTTCGGTTGCCTCACCTAATATCCATTTACCGAAATTACTCATCATAAGGCGCATTCACAGCCCACCGATCTATAGCTTTGTGGGGCCTATATTGCGCAGTACGTTATCAGCAACGGAGTCATCCGGCCCGGAGGCCACAGATGGGTATTAGTGTATGCGTGTGTCGTAGTTTCAAGGCCCGTGTGGCATTCAGGACGGGATAGTGCGTCGGCCGACGTACGACCGTTCTCGTTACTCTTGTGCCTTATTGCTCCGCCGGCGAAGCATTGTTCGGATTACGCTTCGTGCGGACGTCTGTTTTTTCAGCCTGTATTATTTCCTTTCGATGGTATAGCGGCGTGTTTCGTGAGCCCTGAGAGTCTGATGAAGTTTTGCCTGGTCGATGACCGTTCGCCCAACATCTTGGCTTCCTTTTGTCTTGCCCGTAGTTGGCTGAACCGTTGTCTTTACCTCGGCGGCAAGGATTCGCGGATAATGAGGGTGCTCCCCATCCCCACCAAATATCTGAAGGTGCCCGGGGCCAATCAGCCAGCCAGCCATCACGCAGTGCGACATGTGACAGCGTCAGGTCGCGAACGGGTAACACCTCGGGACGTACAGCACGAACGGGTGACGCCTCGTGACGTACAGCAGCAAGAGTGGGTGACGCCGCTTGAGGCATAGCACCGTCCCGCCTGCTGTGCGCTGTCTGCCTCTGGTCGTCGCCCGTCGCGCCGCGGTAGGAGCGCCGTCCGGGCCCGCTCGCCCGCCGTACCGTCCCGCCTGCTGCGCGCTGTCTGCCTCTGGTCGTCGCCCGTCGCGCTGCGGTAGGAGCGCCGTCCGGGCCCGCTCGCCCGCCGTACCGTCCCGCCTGCTGCGCACTGTCTGCCTCCGGTCGTCACCCGTCGCACCGCGGTAGGAGCGCCGTCCGGGCCCGCTCGCCCGCCGTACCGTCCCGCCTGCTGCGCGCTGTCTGCCTCTGGTCGTCGCCCGTCGCGCTGCGGTAGGAGCGCCGTCCGGGCCCGCTCGCCCGCCGTACCGTCCCGCCTGCTGCGCGCTGTCTGCCTCTGGTCGTCGCCCGTCGCGCTGCGGTAGGAGCGCCGTCCGGGCCCGCTCGCCCGCCGTACCGTCCCGCCTGCTGCGCGCTGTCTGCCTCTGGTCGTCGCCCGTCGCACCGCGGTAGGAGCGCCGTCCGGGCCCGCTCGCCCGCCGTACCGTCCCGCCTGCTGTGCGCTGTCTGCCTCTGGTCGTCACCCGTCACGCTGCGGTAGGGGCGCCGTCCGGGCAGCGATGGCCATGCCCTCCGTGCGTCGCGGGACTGGCGGGAAGACGGCGGGGGCCTCCTGACGCCGGGCGCTCGCGCCGACCCGACCCCCGCCGCCGTTGGCACGGAGCCGGGCCGGCCCGTGCACCTGCCGACCGGGCGTGCCCTCATCTGTCGACAGCGTGCGCAGCGTCGGTGTCGTGTCATTGGGGCTTTGCGAGGCACTCAGCTGCGGAAGCTATATGGCGTCGTCTGCCTCTCGCCCTGGCAAGAAGAGCGGACACCGCGGGGAATTGAACCCCGTACCTTTGGTTTCCCAGACGCGTGTTGGTTAACGCAGACACGTTAACCACTACACTCCCGGCACCCCTAACCTCGCGGCGTCGGTGGCGCCGCCTCGCACGGTGGGTGGGCCGGGTCCGGCTGGCTCTGCCGCCCGCCGGGCAGTCACTTCCTGGGAGGGAGAGCTCACTCCCTGCTGGGCCGGGCTGACAGTGACCAGAGGATTACGTAGAAAGGAAATATTGGGGGGAGGAATGTTGGCCACCGTCAACGGCAAACACGCCTATGCGGTTTTCATGGCCCCATTGTTCTGGATTAAGCCCGATTGTCTCGTATTCGATATCGGTATCGGAAAAGGCAGTATTGACGACGATCTGGTCGATTATCGGTTCGCCCGCGGCTCTGGGGGCTTCGAGCCCCGGCTGGCAGCTCTGCGGGCCTCGAGCCCTGGCTGGCAGCTCTGCGGGCCTCGAGCACCGACTGGCAGCTCTGCGGGCCTCGAGCCCCGGCTGGCAGCAGTGCAAGCCTTGAGCCCCGGCTGGCAGCTCTGCGGCCCCGAGCCCCGGCTGGCAGCTCTGCGGGCCTCGAGCCCCGGCTGGCAGCTCTGCAGGCCTCGAGCCCCGGCTGGCATTTCTGCGGGCCTCGAGCCCCGGCTGGCAGCTATGCAGGCCTCGAGCCCCGGCTGGCAGTTCTGCGGGCCTCGAGCCCCGGCTGACAGATAGCCGTGACGTTGGCCTGCACCGTGCGGCTGGTTTCACACCTCGATCTGGCCGGGCTGCTGAGTTGCTGCTGAGTTTTTGATCACGCCGCGAACCGGCCGGGTGCGTGGTCGGCTCATGGGAGCCTGCGGCGATTCCGACGCATCGACCCGCGCTGGCCGATGTCATTGCCCGCGTGCTCGCTCCTTGGTCAAGATCCGCTAGCCTCGTACTGCTGCGGCGTCGAGTGGCCGAGGGACCTGGACTCGGCTCTGACCCGTGATCTTCACCTGGCTGGGAACTGAAAACTTGTAGTTGTCGTGGGTTAATCGAACGCAGGGCGAAGTTGTGACGCTTCAGTGTTGCGAGTAAATCTGGCGTGTTCAAACAGCATGCGTACAGATGCCTGCGGGCTATATATCATGACTGTAAGAATTGGACTTCCTGTTACGGAAAACGCGCTTGGTGGCCGCAAATAGAGCTTACTGAGCTTACGGAGCTTAGCTTAGAGCTTACATAGAAGACTTGCTGGCCGGGAGTGGCCATGCCTTGGCCCTCACTCGTTATTATACTCTTAATTATATGTTTGCCTGAGTTATACGTAGGATCGTGACTCGTAAGGGCTCCTGGTCACCTTTTAAATGGTGGCAGATGTGTTCTTTACCGTTAACGTCGGAAATATTTAAAGGGCACACTACAGGCCATACTCAAAGTCGCCATGCAGCTGCGTTATGTCCGACCCTTGTTTCACGATCCCATTGTAAAAATCCGTGTGGCGTAGCGGACAATCCCATTTTGGCACGATGGCAAACAAGCAGTCGGCAGGTTTGAAAACTTTATGGTTGAAGGGCGTCCCGAAATGACCCTGTTTGCAGACAGGCTTTACGCTCGTTCAGCTGAAGTATGTGTGTGCGCTGTACGTTCCCGCTATGAAACTACGCCCTTGTGCGAAATAGAGCTGGTCGTAGCGCGAAGTGAATGGTACCTCCGTGTATCAGCGTCCTGATTTTCGATGCCGGTTAGAGCGTGCGAGCGTTGGCAGATGGCTGTGCTCGCTAGCGGACAGCTTATGTCGATGTATGTGCATTGTGCATCGCATCTCATGCGTTAGGCGCAACAGCTATCACCTCTCTCCTGTCGCATGTGGCTGTCTGGGCTCTCCTGTCACCTATGGCTGTCGTGCTCTCCTGTCACCTGTAGCTATCGTGCTCTCCTGTCACCTGTGACTGTCCATACTCTCCCTGTCACCTGCGGCTGTCCGTACTCTCGTTGATTTGGCTTGCAACGAATAATTTGTTGGGACAATGCAGAAATGACACCATTCGGATATATGCATGCACTGTACTGTGGTTGCAGTATAAACTATTATATACGCCACTTCACCATCACTTATTGTATGCACCGGTACACCACCTCGGTGTTGGGCAAGCACAGTTACAGAGCGAGTTACTGAGTTACTGAGTGAGTTACAGGGTGAGTTACTGATCGCTTGTGCTACGTATGGGCTCGTTGCGACGTAAGCGATGTTTTTTTTTGGGGGGGGAGATTAGGTGGGATTCACTAGGCGTACATTGGGACATGCGGCTGTATACTGCTCATCAGCGCCCCCAGCTAATGTGAAACATTGACATCCAATCCGGTTTATCACGTGGTGATGGTATCCGGACACATGCGACCTGCAAATGCCCCGCAGAACTGCGCACCCACATATCAGTACAGCCGTAGGCTGTGTCCCAGCAGCACGCGCCGATGCAGACATTGTTGAAGCCATGCAACTGCTTCAGTGGCGGCCTTGCCGATGAGGCGGATTTAAAATGCGGTGTCAAAAGTGTTTTGTTCCGATGTTGAATGTTGGAACTGATATTAATTATACTTGCTGAGAAGCGCTGCAATTTCTTGCTCGATGCGTTTTGCGCGCTGATCTCGGCGAAAGAGATGGATCTGGAAGGCAGTGCACGTCGTAGGTGGGTATGCGCGATGCACTGATGACAATCCGCCGTCTCAAGGGAAGGCCGTGCGCCGTTCAGCCTGACGCAGTTTGTTTTTGTTCCCAGTTCTGAGGGGCAAGCGACTGGTGATGCCGGTTTGAGTGGCCGCCGATGCAGATGCCGATGCCGCCGCCACTGGATCTTCGTCCCCTTGCCTGCTCGTTCCACCCTGATAAAACATCTTCGAAGTGCCGACGGCGCAGGACGGGTGGTGCTGATCCAGCGCCGCCCCGCGGGCTCCTGGCGGCGAATCTCTGTCAGAGGCGGGACTGGCCGATGTAGTGTTTGCCAGAGGCGGTACGCGCGGTGTGGTCGGCGATGAGTGACGGCTGCTGCGGTCGCCAGGGCCGGCCAGCGGGTGTCGATGCGTGACGCGCCGTGTGCGGCGGTCTCACCAGCCCAACCGGCGCGAGTTGTTTACTTTTATACAGGTGGAGTGACGGCGTTTGCCGTATTCAGACCAATGTGATAGCGCAGGTGACAATGGTAGGGGCCTGGCCTCGGAAATGTGAAGCATTCGCTGTCCGTTCGGCGTGGCTTTGTGTCGGGCGCAGTCTGTTTCGGGGCACGGGAGTGGCTGTTCACTGTTGGCTTGAAGCTGTAAGGTTTATCGTGGCATGGTAGCGTTGTGCGGCGGGACGAGGATTAAAAGCTGTTTACATATGTGCCCGTGCCAACTGATTGACCGTGGAGGCCGCTGGCGACGGGAGCCGATTGCTGCGTGACAGCGGCGGATCTCAGAACACGTCGAGAAGTCCAGGCTTCGGAACCGCATCGCTTCAGCGATGTCGTCTTCGACTCAACGCACGGGGAGGGGTTGTGATTCCGACGCGGTGGCAAATAGCTCTCTTCAGATTCGTGTTAACTCGGGTGCCCCTGGCTGACTGCACCTGGCCGTCATGTTTACGGTTAAGTTAAATCATCGAGTCTGCGTTTCATCCAGTCTGTGCGAGGCCAAATTCAGAATCTGACTCTGCTGGGTTTTTAAAGGCTACTCCACGTGCACTTGATCAAAAATTGTTATCAAATGCCTCTTAGGTCTTTACAATTGGCATTGCATTTCTTCGAGCGCAAAAGTGTTGTGCAAATATCATTATTGTAGGTCTGTACAAAATTTCTTCCTCTTATCTTTGTACGCGAGCTTTCTTATCACAAAACCCCATATGCAACTTTTCTCTCTCAAATGTTCGTGTTCGCAAAACTTCGCGTGCACAGTTTTTCATAGACATTTTTGTTTGTGTCGTTTTTCCTCGTGATGCGTTTCTCCATACAGGCGTCCTCCGCTTGTCCCATGGAATAGGAAAGCTCACCCTGGCCTCGCACGACGAAATATGATGCAAAATTACGTCCTGGAACCACTAAACTGAATTATTGTACACAGCGTCTGATCAGGAGCTCCGATCACGCCCTCAAACAGCCAGGCAAGTTTCGTGACGACTTCACTAAAGCGTCCCATGTAATGGTTGAGTGTGTCCGGAAACCGAAACACGCCGAAAACCTACGTCTTTACCGGCCATGCACTAGGTTTTTCACCATGGCAGGACAGCATAGTACGCCACGGGAGCGCTGGGGGAGCGCACTCGCGGCTATTTTGAACCTCCCAAGAGTCGCCGTGGGGTTACGCCTGTGACGCTTCAGGCCGCTGATACCTGCCCACGCTGCGGGCCGCCTATCAACGAGCGCTGACCGCGGTCGAGTGCAGCACCAAATGTTCATATCAGTTCCACCGGGTATCAGTTCATAAGCTCGGCGCTTCGCTAAGGCCGAGGTGGCTGCTTGCCTTCACCGGAGTCGGGGCGGGGGGGGGGGGGGGGGCACCGCGGTGCCGCACGGATCACGAGCCGCCGGCGCCGTGTCAAGGCTGGAGGAGTCCTGTGCGGAATGTGAGGTGTAGAACGTAACGTTGGACGCAACACCAACCATCAGGTCACCCCAGCAGCTGCCCCAACCAGCATGTCCCCCAGCAGCGACCCCAACCAGCAAGCAACCCCAGCATCTACCCCTACCAGCACGTCGCCTCAGCAGCCGCCCCAACCAGCAGGTAATCCCGGAAGCTTCCCCAACCAGGTCACCAGGCCACTTCAGCAGCCGCTTCAGCCAGCACGTCACCTCAGCAGCCAGCATTGCCAGCAGGTCACCTCAGCAGCCACTCCAGCCAACAGGTCACTGGTAACGCGGACAGTTCTCGCCGGTGGCTGAGTAATAATTCGTGGCTGTATTGAACCCTCAGTCCCACACTCAGACGCACGCTCACGCAAAGACCTAGTTCGCCTCAAACTCCGGCGGAGAGCTGGGATTCGGCCCATCAGAGTAGATGACGACCACATTAAAAAAAACACCCTGTGGGTTGAAAAAGTGACTTGTGCGCTGACGAGATCGCCCTGATGGGAACGAGAAGGGAGAGTTGCATCAGCTGTGCTTTAACTGGTAAGGAAAGGGCTAAGATTCCCATATTTGCAGACAGCTATAACATTCAGCTTGACATGAAGCTGGAAAGTTTTGGAAGGAATGCCGACACATATTCGTTTTTTGGCAAATGGCCTCTGAATGATGTCCTTTCAAATGAGGCCACTCGCCCCGCCTCGTGATAAATTGTGTCGCGTGGTAGGGAGTGGTGCTATGTAGCTTTTGTCATAGCGGAAGTACCATCGCATGCAGGGTGAATGCATTACGGCATGTAGACCGAATGCATTCGTCTGTGTTTTCCGTAATTCATGATGGCGACGTGTCAAATGTTTGCCCCTTTTACCAACCAGGGTGTGTTGCACGTCAACTGCCATATTAGTTTCGGTTGTTTAGATATGAACCACGGGTCTACAGAGATACTGTAGCTGCCGACTCGTTTTCTGGATGACAAGCAGTCTTGGTAATTACGTCGGTCAACCGTTGAGAGTAAGTCAGTCAATGACATATAGTCGTCACGTTGTATCACTGATACAACATTGCCCTTGCGCAGCCAAAGTGGCATGCGGGGGTGACAAAAGTACCCTTCCTGTCACCTAAGAAATGTGGAACCGTTTTAATTTCCCTGGGGCCGAATCTATCAGGAGCCGTCGCTGGAAGCTCTCCCAGCAACAAGCTCCGCTTACCTGTGTGGACTCCCTGGACATCCAGCTCAAAACCCAGCACGAAAATGACCAGTTACTTGCCCCTCCGACTTGTGTGACTGCACAACCCTTACTGGCGTCGTGAATGAGTGGTATCAGCTATTGGGTGATTCTGGCGGGCTGTCATTAGCTGACTTTGGTTATGATCACTTTAAGCCTTCTCATGTATGATCTGTCCTTACCTATCGCACAACATGGTTCCTGCCGGGTCTGCGCCACCTCTTCGCCTGCTTTTTTTGTGTGTGTTTAGCTGGGAGTCCCACGAATTGATTTTGTTTTCTGGTGTTGACACGGTTTCTTGTGTGGCTGGGATGGAGGGAGGGACACTCCTGGCTGCCTGTTCTTGGGTAACGGTATGTGAAAATGAATTAAAAATACAAATGCACATGCGTGTTTGTTGAGTGAAAGTGGTTGATAATGATCAAGCTTTCGCCTAGAGAAGTCTACATGGGCTCGAACGGTCCAAATACACGCATTGTGAAATAAAAGAGATATCCCGGACCCACTGTAAAACACAATGGGCGAGCATAGGTGACCCTGCGTGACGTGCGCTGACCCTGGGTGACCTGTAGCGACACTGAATGACCCGTGATGTGAATGCAGCAATGTCCGGTGACCTGCAGCGAGGCTGGGTGACCTGCAGTGATGTAATGACGCTAAATAACCTGCAGCGGTGCTGGGTGTTATGTAGCGACATCGGGTAACTTGTAGCGATGCGGGATGCGGGGTTACCGTAAGTGACGCTGGGTGACCTGCAGTGACGCTGAGTGACTTACCAATGCATTTAATGACCCTCAGCGATGCTGAGTAACCCGAAGAGACGCTCAGTGAGTGGTGGCTGTGCTGCGACTTCGGTGATATGTGTTTTTGGCATGTCAGAAGAGATGAAGGGTGATGATATGAGTCGGTTCATCCCACTTCACGTTGATATGGCTTTCTTAATCATATGTGAGCTTTCATCTTCGTGTTCATATTGTGCTGCCTACGTAACGCCCCGCCGTTTCGTAAAATTGCAGGCATCTCGTAATAGCACTAACCCATGTGCATTGGCTATCTGACAGATCACCCGCCACGTAGACCAGTAAGCGTTCAGCAAGGTCAATACTGTTGCCTGACATGAGTTACTTATGCTAGCTATTCCCGCGGCATCTGGTGCCACGGCCATTACTGACCCCTTGAGGCGGACCCCTAGCGTCGACTTCCCGCTGGCTGCCGGCACTTAGCCATCATTACAGCAGCAGCAGGTGCGTGACGGTCATCAGGTGAACAAAAAACAGGCTATTTGGACAAGTGAGGTTTCCCTGAAGATGGCGGAAGACTGATACATGATCAGGAAAATAAATGTTGGAGTGCTTTTTCTGCGGAACTCTAATGTTAGATTAGCTAATGCGGCGCATTACTTTTACCTCGTTTCAGTGAACAGTAAGAACTTTGGTTAGTGCGGGATAATGTTTAGAGGTTAAATAGTTGATTTGATTGCAAAGAAATGAAATTTCTCAAGCCCATTCCACAGGCAGCCCTACACAATTACGCAACGTTGAACTTGTGTATTGTTGAAATGGAACGAAGTAGCAGCTGTTCACACGCGTCATCTCGTGATATATGCAGTGCAGTGCTGAACCATCAACGTCTGTACGTCTTTCAAACACATCGTTCCTGTTGTCATTTTGCCGACCAGGGCAGGGCACTGTCCCCGGAATGTAGGCCAGCCGTTGCCAAGGAGCATCTATGCCGTCGCTGACCTCGATTCTCACCGTCGCCGCCTGGGAACAGCCCCTGAGAGCCGTTCCTGCCCCCCCCCCCCCCCCCCACCTCATCCGTCCGGCCGCCGCCACTGCCACCTGTAGTGAGCGGCGATATCCGGGGTAAAGCATCTGGGTGGGGGCTGGCAGGTCAAACTGAACAGCACTAACTCACTAACTGGACAGGACAGCAGGTCAAACTGGACAGCACTCACTAACCGGACAGAACAGCAGGTCAAACTGGACAGCACTAACTCACTAACTGGACAGAACAGCAGGTCAAACTGGACAGCACTTATTAACTGGACAGAATAGCAGGTCAAACTGGACAGCACTCACTAACTGGACAGAACAGCAGGTCAAACTGGACAGTACTCGCTCGCAAACTGGGTGGAACAGCAGGTCAAACTGAACAGCATTCGCGGGCGTCGGCCGCTGACAGTGCAGATGGGTCCGAGGGCTTAACATCAACATACGGGTTTACACATGCTGATTGAGTGCACAGAATTGCGTCAATAAATGCGAATCCTGCAACTCAAAATACTAGACTACTGATTCTGCCCGCTCTGTCCTTTAGAGGCTGAGGCTTGAACCGATGTCCGAGACATTTTTGACCCTGGGGCTACTGGGAGAGTTCTGAGAGGCTTCCCCTACTTGGCCGGAATATGTTCTGAATTAGTTTGGGCACATGCTGAAATTTGTGGTAGCTGCGGTTACGTCATAATTACACATCTTTAAAACATTTCAAGCACCAGACTTTGACCGTTCATGACCTAGGATCTTTTTTCTACGTCATGCCCGTGACATTTGAAGGGAAAGGAACGGCTATTTCCTACAGGTAATGCATTCTGAGCAGGTTTTCATTGTTGCCATTTCTTACATATGGTACGGTGGAGTGCATTATTGTTGTTTTGGTGGCGTTGCCAGTGTCAAGTCAACCAAGGCGAACCTAGTTCAGACTGCTACTATTAAGACAGTTTTAAGGCTATGCAATTTAAGTCAAAATAAAACGTACCTTACAGTCTTTGAAGGTGTTTTTAGTGCTGTTTTCCGCCATTCCAAAGGCTTATTTAGTTTTTATATAGCCCCGCAGACTGACACAGAGATATCCATCATCTTTTTTGCCTGACTTGACAATCATATACCACATGCGTCGACGTTTACCAGTACTCATAGAGCTTTCCAAGAATTATTCAACGCTGTCTTCCGCATTGTCACAGCATACCCAGTTCTGAAGGCAACATGAGCGATTTATGACTTGCTAAGTTGAGCCATATGGCTGGATTTGACCCGTAAAAAATGCCGCCCCCCACTGCCACTTCCATCCAAAGCCGTTTCACAAGAGTTTTCCAATGGCATTATCTCTGTGGCTCTAACTTGCTTAGTTTTGGAGGTCTTTAGAGCCTTTGATGTCCCCTCGAAGAACTAAGGTAAAAACAATCACGTGGGACGAGGGCTACCAGTGTCTAAGACAGCAGGCAAGTTAACTAGTGCAGTATTTTGCACGGGATATTAATGTTTATATC